ACGGCCGTGGAGGGCAACATGGACAGCTTCATGGCGCAGGTCAAGAGCCTGGCGCAGTCCCTGTACCCCTGCTCGGCGCAGCAGCTCAACCAGGACCTGCGCCTGCACCTCCTGCTCAACACGTCAGTGACCTGCAACGACGGCAGCCCCGCGGGGTAAGGCCCCGGGCGCTGCCGGCCCCGCGGGGGAGGCCAGTCGAGTCCCCGCGCGGGGCTGGGGCAGGGCTCCCAGGTCTGGGCCCTGGTCAGCCCAGACACTGACCCCTCGGCCACGCGTGCCAGCCACTCTGCGCTGTCCTTCAGCCCCTGTTTGGGAAACGGAGCGCGCCAGTGGCCCCTGGCCAAGGGAAGTGACACAGGGGTTAGGAAAGCCCCACTGTCCCTCGGCCCGGGATCCCAGCGCCAGCTCTCATTGGGGGCAGTGAGGGGAGCAGGTAGGACAGAAGGACAGTGAGGCACCTGCCCACTGATCCCTAGCCCCGAGGGAGGCTCAGGAAGAAGACTGCGAGGCTCAGGCGCGGCCAAGGCAGGGACGCCCCGCGCCCTCGGCAGGGTGGTGACACTCCAAGGAGCGGGCCGGGCCGCGATGCCCCTTTGGCACCGCCTGGAGCGCCCCAGGGCCCCCTCCCCCGCCCCACGCCTCTGGCGAGTGTGCCCCGCGCCCCGAAAGGACCCGGCGCCCAGCGCAGACCCCCCCCCGACGGGCGCCCGCGCCGAGGTTACCGCGGGTTCCGCGCCGGGCGGGCCGTGGGGATTTTCCACCGACCACACAACCCCTCTCAGCCCTTCCCCGCCCCACGAGCGCCACCTCCCGGGCGCGGTCGCCGCGCTCTCTCCTCGTGGGCTGGCCGCGGGCGCCCCCGCGCGCCCGGAGCGCGCGCGCGCGCGGTGGACGACAGGTGGAATAACTCTTTCCTGTCCGGGGCAGGGCGCGGGCCGGGGGCGCAGCGACCCCGGCCTCGCAGTCCTGCCTGACCGGCCGCCCTCCCGCGCAGCTACTACCTGAAGGAGTCCAAGGGCAGCCGGCGGTGGCTGCTCTTCCTGGAAGGTGCGTCCCGGCTGGAGGCGGGGGGAGGGAGGCGGACGCGGGCCCCCGGGCGCGGGCCCTGAGCGTGGCAGCTATGTCCGCAGGCGGCTGGTACTGCTTCAACCGCGAGAACTGCGACTCCCGGTACGACTCCATGCGGCGCCTCATGAGCTCCAAGGACTGGCCGCGAACGCGCACAGGTGAGCGGGGCGCAGGCCCCGAGGCGCGCGGACCCAGCCGCGCAGCGCCGAGGAGCCCCTCTTGGAGGGAAGGGGACAGCAGCGTGCTGGAAGCACATTTTGGAGTCCTCGAAGAAGCTTCACAATTCACCTCCCAGAGCCATGGGAGGCTACACACACACACACACACACACACATCCTCCTGCGGCCTTGGTTTGAAGCCACCGCCTTCCACAGTCTCATTTTTATCCCATCAACTTTGGAGAGCCAAGGCTCCCAGGACTCTGCAGGCAGATGGCTGGGTCATAGCTGCCAGCGAGGGGCAGCAGAGAGGGTCTGGGGTCTGCCCAAAGGTGCCTCCAGGGACTGTCCGCCCATCTCCCACTTCCCTGGCCACCTGGCTCAGGCTGGCACCACTGCCCATGCTCTGCTGGGACCAGGTGGGAGTCCCCATGTCTGCCACTCCTCTCTTTCACTAGAAAGACCTACCCTGTCCTCACCTCCCACAGGCACAGGGATCCTGTCTTCACAGCCAGAGGAGAACCCCCACTGGTGGAATGCAAACATGGTGTAAGGGGCTGGGAGGGGCCCTTGGGTGGGCATCCTGCTGGAGGACTGGTCTGCCTGGGGGCGGTCCTTCCTGGGGGAGTTTGCTGGGGGGCAGTCCTTCCTGAAGGAGGTTCTTTGTTGGTTGAGTCGTCCTACCCAGGGGTGGTCTTTCTTGAGTCCTTCTGAGGTCCCATGTTGAGGCACACCTACCTGGGATGTGGCAGTCCTTATTGGGGTGGTCCTCCCTTGAGGGGCTGGTCTTTCCTAGGGGATGGGTCTTTCCTGGGGCCTTGCTGGGGGGTGCTCCTTCCTGGAGGCAGTCCCACCTGGGGCAGTCCTTCCTTGGGGGGGCTGGACATACCTGGAGGTGGTCTTCCCTGGAGAGTGGTCCTTCCTGGGGGCGGTCCTTGGGGACAGTCCTTCCTGGAGGCGGGCAGCCAGCAGGGGACTTTGGTGGCCCTCACGTATCCCTCTGTTGCAGTTTCATCCCCTACTGCTCCAGTGATGTCTGGAGTGGGGCGTCCTCCAAGCCTGAGAAGAGTGAGTCCCTGTCTTTCCTGTCCCCTCCCACACTCTCTTGCTCCTTGGTTTTGGGGAGAGACAGGGCAGAGAAGGTGGGGCTTCTGCCTCCCTAGCTCCCTCCAGCTCCCTGTGGGAGGCCACCAGGGTACCTGCTTGTCCATTACTAGCTTGACCCCACAGGTGCCCTCACTCCTAGGGTTCCTGGGGAAGGGGCCCCACATGGCCTCATGCACCTGGCCCACCTCCCTCTAGTCTACCCCAGGTCCCCAGCCCCAGGAAGAACCCCCAACCGGAGCTGACACCCCTGCTCACATCAGCCTGGGGGTGGGAGGCCTTGCTCCCTGTCCAGGTCCCCAGGGACCCACTCGAGCCCCTCTCTCTCATGCAGACGAGTATGCCTTTATGGGCGCCCTCATCATCCGGGAGGTGGTTCAAGAGCTCCTGGGCAAAGGGCTGAGTGGGGCCAGGGTGCTACTGCTGGCCGGGAGCAGGTGGGTCTGGCAAAGGGAGAGGCAATTGGGGCGGACGGCAGGGAAGGGAGAGGAGAATGTGAATGGGAGGACCAGGCAGCCGGCGGGAGCGCGGAGCCCAGGAGCCGGGGGAAGGCCTGCCTTATGGGGTCCCTGAGTTTCAGCCTCACCAATCCTGGGTAGGCATCTGGGAGGGCCTGGGTGCTGGCATCTTTAGGGCAGCGCAGAGGTTTGGGTCTGAAGAGAAACTCTGCCCTCTAGTGGTCTGTGCTGGAAGGGCAGGTACTACTGGCTTCCATGACGGCTGGGTGGAGGGAAGGCATGGGCTGGCCTCACCTGGGTGGTGGCTGGGTGACGAGCTGTGGACTGAGGTGCCTTCCCCTGGGCCTGGGAGCCTGATAAAGAAGGGGCCACACCTGTTCAACACCACATTTCCCCCAAGCATATAAGGGGATGGTGGCGCTCAGGGGCTTTCTGAGGTCTGGACAAAATGGCCTGGGACCACAGAGTTCAGTCGCATAAGGAAAGGGAGGCAGTGTTGGAGCCCCTCAGCCCAGGGGTTCGCAGTGAGCCATGTGGACTGTGGGGCAGATGCCTGCCCTTCGTGCGAGCGCAGGGCTGAGCGGCCGGAGGGCCGCCCTCTGCCTCTTGACCTCACTGAGGGCCTCCCCACAGCGCGGGTGGTACGGGCGTGCTGCTTAATGTGGACCGTGTAGCTGAGCAGCTGGCGGAACTGGGCTACTCGGCCATCCAGGTGCGGGGCCTGGCCGACTCTGGCTGGTTCCTGGACAACAAGCAGTACCGCCGGACGGACTGTGTGGACACAGTGACCTGTGCGCCCACCGAGGCCATCCGTCGTGGCGTCAGGTACCCGTCTCCTCCTGGTGGGGCTCAGGCCCCCCACCAGCTTGTGTCCTGTGCAAGGAGCCCAGGCGGTGGAGTGTGGGTGGTGGGGCTGCTGGGGCCCAGCACGACCTGACTCCTGCATGTGGCCCAAGGTACTGGAAGGGCGTGGTCCCAGAGCGCTGCCGGCGCCAGTTCAAGGAGGGAGAGGAGTGGAACTGCTTCTTTGGTTACAAAGTCTACCCGACCCTGCGCTGTGAGTGGGGCCAGGAGTGCAGGGCAGTGGGGGGTCTACCCGGCCCTGCACTGAGAGTGGGGATCTGGGGGCATGGGGCCACAGCAGGATGCCTTCTGTGCTTCTCCTGAAAGCTCAGACACCCAGCCCAGAGGACCTGCCTGCACCCAGCTGGGCAGCTGAGGATAGGGTACCTGGGTCCTGTCCCAGGGAAGGGGCCAAATCTATACCCCGGTGACCAACTCTGCTGCTTTGCCTGGGACTCTCCCAACTGCACTGCAGAGCCTGCATCCGGGGAGACCCCTCAGTTCCCACAGGCTGGGAGTGAGGGCCATCCCCGGTCAGTGGTGCACTTCGGAGCAGGCAGCCTGGGTCTGCCTCCCGGTGCTGCCCTCCCTGTCTCCTGCCTTGGGCCTGGCCCTCCCTAGCACTGGACTCTGGGAAGCTGGGAGGTCCTGTGCAGTGGCGCAGGTCTGGGGCTCAGTAAACAGGGCGCTGTCATCGGTCACAGCCGAGTCTCCGAGAGGGGGATATCCACGGGAGCACTCAGCAAGGACCCTTGGTGAAGGCAGGGCCTGGGAGGGAAGTTTTGGGGCAGGGGAGGGCAGGGAGGAGCTGGCTGGGCCGTGCCCCCCCCAGGCCCGGTGTTCGTGGTGCAGTGGCTGTTTGATGAGGCACAGCTCGCCGTGGACAACGTGCACCTCACGGGGCAGCCAGTGCAGGAGGGCCAGTGGCTCTACATCCAGGACCTGGGCCGCCAGCTTCGGGATACGCTCAAGGGCGTGGCGTGAGTGCCAGCCTCTCTGGAGGCACAATTAGGGACCTGGTATGAAAATGGAGGGAGGACAGGGACAGAGGCAAGGCCCACAGGCCCTCAGGGCAGGAGGGGCATGGGTGGGCCCAGAGCGGGAACTGGTGGGGCCGAAGCAGGGGGCAGGCTCTGGGAGTGGCTGGACTGGGTAGGGGTGAGGAAGAGGCCCCAGCCCCTTGTGGCAAGGTGCTCATGCAACGTCTTCTCCCAGGGCCAGCTTTGCCCCCGCCTGTCTGTCCCATGAGATCATCACCCGAAGGTTGGTTTCCACCAGGCCCCGTCCCCCGTCCCCCGACACCTAAGCCTGTACCCCACCCACCTGCTCACCTCTCCAGTGGGCTGTGCCACCTGACTCGGGTGGGTCCCTTGTGACCCCTCTTGGGTCTCTGCCCACAGCCACTGGACAGACGTGCAGGTGAAGGGCACCTCACTGCCCCGTGCCCTGCAGTGCTGGGACAGAAGTCTCCAGGACAGCCACAGGGCCAGCCGGGCCCCCCTGAAGGGCTGCCCCATCCACCTGGTGGACAGCTGCCCCTGGCCCCACTGCAACCCCTCGTGCCCCACCATCCGGGACCAGTTCACGGGTCAGGAGATGAATGTGGCCCAGTTCCTCATGCACGTGGGCTTTGACGTGCAGACCGTGGCCCAGCAGCAGGGCCTGGACCCCGGCACACTGCTGGGGATGCTGAGCAATGGGAGCTAGGAGGCCCTGCACCCCCGCCCCGCCCCGCCCTCTCCCCCCAGCGCATTCCCTAGCCCCTCCTAATGCCTCCAGGCAGCCTGCCTAGGCCCAGCTGCGCCCTGGTGCCTGGTGACCCTGCCGGCCCCGCCCCTTCTAGCCTACAGAGGGGGCGGAGCCAGAAGCACTGGATTCCTCAGCCCAGAAGGCCCCGCCCAGCCCGCCCCAGCCTCTCCTGCCTTTTTGTATTATTTTATAAAGTGACTTTTTTATTTCTTTAATTTTTTAAAAAAGGAAAATAAGCAAGAAATATATGATGAATTATGTTATTTTGTAAAATATTTTTGTTAAATAATGAAGAAAAGACAACCAAAGAACCTGAGCGTGCCCATGTGTTTCTTTGGATGGGCAGCCGGGGGACGGGAGGGACCTCTGACCACTGACCCAACCACTTCCTGGAGAAACAGGGCCATCCTGGGCTGGCGCTCAGTGGGACCCCACCCCATCTGGACCCTCCTGAGGAGGCTCCCCCTCACCCCCCTCGGGTGGCCGGAGCTGGGCACCGCTCTAACGCAGGTGGCCACGGCTGACTTACTTTTCAGTTAGAGGTGAAATTCACATAATACAGTGAATGTTCTAAAATGAGTGCTTTTCAGTGGCGCCCTACCAGAAGCACCGCAGGGGCCTTCTCTCACAGCTCAGGAGCCCCCACGTGGGAGTTGGGGGCCCGGCTCAAGGGGGAGGCTCTGCTGGCCTTGACTCCAGTGCTAGCTAGCAGCTCTCTTCCCCTTTGCTTCTCCTCCGTTTACATAACAAAAGGAGTGAACTCAGGACACATCCTCCACTGAATCTGCCTCCTTCCCCAAGGAAGACATTGATTCCCAAATGGCACCCTGACCACAGGCAGAGGCTGGGCCTGGTGGCACACACTTCTGGAGGACACCGTTCAGGGCACAATATGCTGCCTGATACATTCCTGGTTTCATGCAGCCACAGCCTGTCCTTTGAAAACGTCCTCATCACCCCAGAAGGACACCTGGTTCTCAGCTAGCACATCTTAGGTGTCTTCAGTTTGTTTATTTCACTAGGTAATATTTGTACATGGTTCAAAGTTCAAAGGATAGGAGAGTATTGGGAAGGTCCCCCCTCTCTTAGCAGCCCCACTCCGGCTAGTTCCTCTGCCCAGAGTGGCCAACACGGTCATCTCAAGGATCTTTCCAGAGCCATTCTACCCGTCCTCACGCTGGAAATGCAGGCACCTGCATACATAGGTAGGAGCTCTGATAGCATGGTGCCTAAGGCACTTGAATGCTAACCGGAAGCTGGAGGTTCAAACCCACCAGCCACTCCCTGGGAGGAAGGCTAGGCAATCTTTTTCTGCAGTGATACCACCTCAGAAACCCAAGGAGGGGTCGCTATGAGTCAGGTACAACTCCACAACACATAACAACGACAACAATAAGAAGCACACATATGTGTATGTTTCTGTGTACACATGTGCCCTCACACCCTGCTGTCTGCTTCCCTCCTCACTCAAGCTGCGACCCCGAAGGCCTTCCCCAGTGTGCAGGGGCTGGCCATTGGTCTGGCTGGCGCTTCAGTCCTGGGATGGGCTCAGTGGTTTACGCATGTCCAGAGCATAGCCTGGTTTCCACATTGTTTTGCACAAAGGCATGTCTGTGGGGGACATGGCCCTGAGTGGGCTTGGTGGGCCAGAGATTGAGCACGTTGGGTTTCCACAGCAGGTGGGTGACCCTCAACATGTGCACCACGCCCTTCGCATGCACCAGACAGATGCCAGAGAGGGCGTGGCTATAGGCCGGAGAAGGAAGAGGTGGTCTCCAGGGACAGCTGCTGGTCCCCAGGGAGCAGCTGTGGGAGCAATCTCCGGCAACCCTTCCCTTCCCAGGAGGGCCATAGACAGGATACCCCAAGAGCACCATGGCCTGAGAGTGGGAGAGGGGGCTGGGGGCCACACAGGGAAGCTGCCTGGGAGCCCTGGCTTGGAGAGACGGCCCACTGCGATGTGGTCAGGGCCAAGTGGGACACAAGAGGTGCGGCCTAGAGACCGACACCGCTCTGTGCAGAGAAGTGGCAGGCTGCCACATCAGCACAATTAGCAAGAGTGACTCTCTGGGACAGGCCGGGCAGATGGAGGGCGGCTCTGTGTCTGGGGCTGCCAGGTCCACGAACATGACACTTGTGGGCCAGGCCCGATGAGGTTTCGCCCAGTGAATACACTGTTCTCCCTGTGTCCGCAGATGCGTTCAGCCAGTGCCAGGGAGGCCAGCTCAGCTGGGGCCCACAGCTTAGTCTGGTCTTTGCACCCCACTGCTGGGACCTGAGATGGAGCTGGAGGATGAATAAGGACAAATCCCAACAGAGGGATTCTACAAAGGGCCTGCCTCGTCCTCGCCAAGACCCAGGGATGTCCCATGACCATGAAATGTCATGTGGGTCCTGGGACAGAAAAAGGGAGTGAGGGGAACACTGAAGCAATCTGAACAAGGTGTAGACTTTGGTTTGTAACAATGTATCAATATCAATTCCATTCACATTTTAACAAATGTCCGTCCCTAGCGCAGGATATTAGCAACAGGGGAAGCTGGTGCCAGGCTCTGGGAACTCTTGGAACTCTCTGTATCATCTTCCCAATTTTTCTGGGAATCAGAGACTTTTCTACAAAAAAATCAAATGCATTAAAATTTCTTATAAATGTGTATGTTAAAGCACACTTTGTTTTACAGACAAGAATATAAATCTAGATACTTCTAAGATCAGCTTTTCTCTAGTTTAGAAAGTCATAAATACTCATTTTTAAAAATGTGGAAAACACTGAACGGCCCACGAACAAGCAAAAAGCCCCTGTTGCCTCGTGTCTGGAAGGGAACTGGCGGTCACCAGGGCGCAGCTACAACACTTACACCAAGTCCTTGCATCTGGGAGAGACTCACGGAGCCGCATAAGGCCGGGGCCCCGACTAGTCTCTGCTCCGCTACCTCCCGGTTGGTGGTTTGGACCGCTCAGTAATGCTGTGGAAGCAAGCTCTGCAAGCTGCTTCTGTAAACGTCACGGCCAAGAACTAGGGAGCAGGGTCACCGCAGCACATGGGGTCGTGAGTCAGAACTGACGACACGGCAGCAGGCTTCGGTCGTGCAGCCATGGGGCCTCGGCTGGTGTGGATGGTCAACAGGCCCAGGGAAGGTTTGAGGTGCCCATCCACTCAGAAGTGCCTCGGAAGGGAGCCTGCAATGCGCTTGGGAACTCCCCGTTGAAAGCCTCTGGTGCACTTTCTGACACACAGTCCAATGCTACAGACTGGATTGTGTCCCCCACAATACGCGCTGTCACTCTTGCCCTCTGCCTGTGGTCGGAACGCCAGCTGGGGACAGCCTGTCTGACTGAGGCGGAACTGCGTAGGGTGTGTCCTGAGTCCATCTCTTTCGAGACAGAGAAGACATTAAACAAGCGAGCGAGTGAGCAGAGACAGGGGAGGTCGGATGCCAGGACACACGATGCTCTCTGAGGAGCCAGGAACAGGAGCAAGGACAAGACCTTCCTCCAGAGCCCGCAAAACGGAGCACCTTCCCCCACCTGGCACTCTGGGTTCAAACTCGTAGCCTCCTAAACTGTCGAGGCGAGAGAGAAGAATTTAAGATCCTTCCCTTCTATCCTGCTGGGCGTTAGCACTTCCCTTGGCAGCTCTGGTACCACTGTGAGAAAACACATTTCTGTTCCTTGAAGCCACCTTGTGGTGTTTCTGGCACAGCAGCTGACATCATGAGCTGGGAGTTGACTCCACAGCAAGTGGTTGTACATATCACCATACATACTTACGCCATTCAAGAGTGAACGTCACCACACACAACTTCTGGGCGGTCCCACCTCTGCCATCACGTACCACGTCCCTCTAGCGTTCTGCACCTGTCTTCCTTAACAGGACACACTTCCCATGGTGTGGGTGTGCCCTCTAACCTCAGGTTCTTTCCACCCGAATTTTTCTTTCCCTTTTTTGTTTCCACGTGGCTAGGAGTAACCGTCCTCGACCTCTGTCCTTTTGCGGATTGTGACAGGTTGGCGCACACTGGAGAGCGGGACGCTGTGGCCCAGCAGTAGGGCAGCCCAGAGCTGGCTGGGGTGGGATCAGGGGCACGTCCTACACTGGGCGCTGTGTTTGCTTCCCAGAGGAGTCCCTGCAAGCCAGCTGAGCTACCGAGCAGCCACACAGCCCAGCTTCTGATCCTGGGATGCTGGGCAGAGGCAGACGGTGAGGACAGGCGTCGGCAGCTGTGGACCAGGCAGAACGGCGGTGGAGCCATGCCGGAAAGCAAAGGCAGCTGCTTTAGTGTGGGTCTGTGCTCAGACTCAGTGTGCTCAGGCCTCACCTTCAGAGAAGGGGCTGGCCGTGACTTAGTGAGAGGGCGTGAGGGCAGACCCACAGGCAGTGACTGTAGCCAGTGGGTCAGGTTTGGGCCTCTCATCTTTGGCCTCCTCAGAAAACACACACACAACAACAACACAAAGCATAAACCTGTTGCCGTGGACTCGATTCAGACCCACAGCGCCCCTAGAGGGCAGAGTGGAACTGCCCACAGGGTCTCCAAGGCTGTCAATCTTTATGGAAGCAAAGCCCAAACCACACCCACTGTCGTGGAGTCGATTCCACTCACAGCGCCCCTAGAGGACAGAGTGGGACTGCACCACAGGGATTCTAAGGCTGTCAGTCTTCACAGAAGCAGACTGTCTCATTTTTCTCCCTCGGAGCAGCTGGTGGATTCAAACTGCCCAGCGCTTCACCACTGCACCACTAGGAATTCTGCAAGGCCTCATTTTTTCATCTTCTGGGGTGAAAAGGTGGTGGTCTGCCCCCTCAAACACACAGGCAGGAAGAAGTTAGAAGTCTGGGAAGGCCTAGGGGGACAGTGGGGCCCAGCAAATCCCCAGGGGGGCAGGGAAAGCCACTCCCAAGAATGGGCACAGAGGACTGGCCTGGACAGGGCTGGTCCAGGTTGTCTGTGGGCACCA